AATCCCAGCTACTCGGGAGGCTGAGGCAGGAGAATCGCTTGAACCCAGGAGGTGGAGGTTGCAGTGAGCTGAGATCGTGCCACTGCACTCCAGCCTTGGCAACAGAGTGAGACTCTGTCTCAAAAAATAATAAATAATAATAATGTGAAGTGAAAAAAATAATTACAAATGTTTTACATTTCTATTAAACTATGTGTATGATTTATCATGCAAACACTTATTGAGCACTCAGTTTGTGCCATTCACTAGTCTAAGTGTTTTACGTGTATTAACTCACTGAATCCTATGAGGTACTATAATTATACCCATTTAGTGAATGTGAAAACTGAGGATTAAAGAAATTAAGTGCACAAGGTCATACAACTAGGTGACAAAGCTTGCCTTTGAACCCAGGCAGTTCACAACCCATACCTACAGAGAAAGATATATATATACCTTATATTATATCGGTTCTTTCTTTTCCTGAAACAAAAGGTCTCACATATTCATTACTGAACCCAGCCTACTATCGCAGGGCATATAAACAAAGAGAAAAAATATATTCCCAATAAAACACGTCCAACTGTCCAGACGGTGGTGACATTTTCAGCTTGCGATGGTAAGATGGCCGTGACCCCGACACAGCGTGCATACATGTGCCAGCCAGCTCATGTGCAGCTCCTTACAGACGCAGCTTGGCTTTTCGGCAACGTCTCCTTTCCAGTTGTGCCTCATTTTATTACCAGTTTTCGTCCAGATCCACTGGAGAATGGGACGATTTGGCTTTTGTTTCTTGGCCAAGAATCGCTTAATTTTAAAAGACTTGTGAGAAGACATGACAAGAAGCAGAATCAAGCACACAACACGAGAGTTGTTGTTTTGTTTGTGAGACAAAAATACAAAATAGTGAGACCCCAATTCTTTTATTTACTTCTATTTCTATTTCTATTTTAATTTTTTGAGAGGGAGTCCCACTCTGTCAACCAGGCTGGAGTGCAGTGGCACAATCTCGGCTTACCACAACCTTCACCTCCCAGGTTCAAGTGATTCTCCTGCCTCAGCCTTCCGAGTAGCTGGGATTACACACGTGCACTACACACACGCCTGGCTAATGTTTGTATTTTTTGAAGAAACAGGGTTTCACCATGTTGGCCAGGCTGGTCTCAAACTCCTGAGCTCAAGCAATTGGCCCGCCTCAGCCTCCCAAAGTGCTGGGATTACAGGTGTGACTTGGAAGAGGCATAATGGTACAGGTTGTAGCAGGCAATGCTCCCACCAAGAACAGTAAGAAAAGCTGGATAAAATGAATCAGAGAGCTGCCAAAGCAAACAGGCCTAGAGCAGCCAAAATTCCAGAAAGAGGTGAACTGTAGGAGGTAAGCTGATATTCTGCCGCGGACTTTTTCCTGGGGGATTTGCTGATATTCGGCCGCGGACTTTTTCCTGGGGGATTTGCTGATATTCTGCCGCAGACTTTTTCCTGGGGGATTTGCCAATTCAGGGCACAGGGCTGAGAATCTGGACCTTGCCTAGGCAGAGAAGCAATTACTGAGGGAAAGTTAAACTAGTAGGAGAGTTGGCGGTCTTTACTTTTTAAAATTTTTTATTTATTAATTTTACTTTAAGACAGAGTCTTGCTCCGTGGCCCAGGCTGGAGTGCAGCAGCACGATCTCGGCTCACTGCAACCTCTGCCTCCCTGATTCAAGCAATTCTCATGTCTCAGCCTCCCAAATAGCTGGGATTACAGGCATGCAGCACCATGCCTGGCCAAATTTTTTTTTTTTTTTTTTGAGATGGAGTTTCGCTCTGACACCCAGGCTGGAGTGCAGTGGCGCAATCTTGGCTCACGGCAACTATCACCTCCCGGGTTGAAGTGATTCTCCTACCCCAGGTCCCAAGTAGCTGGGATTACAGCAGCCCACCACCACGCCCAGTTAATTTTTGTATTTTTAGTAGAGATGGGGTTTCACCATGTTGGGCAGGCTGGTCTCAAACTCTTGACCTCAAGTGATCCACCCACCTAGGCCTCCCAAAGTGCTGGGATTACAGGCATGAGCCACCATGCTTGGCCCTAATTTTTTGTATTTTTGGTAAAGACAGGGTTTCACCATATTGCCCAGGCTGGTTTCCAACTCCTGAGCTCAGGCAATCTGCCCGCCTTGGCCTTCCGAAAGTGGTAGGATTACAGGAGTGAGTTGCTGTGCCCAGCCGAGTCGGCAGTCTTAACAAAGCTAAGGAGGTAAAATGAGAGTCTGGAGGGAAGAAGATCCCATAAAAAAGGAAAAAGTAGAACTAAGCCTATCACATGGTAGGTTTTCTTTTCAAGACATGCTGAATTCAGGCCGGGCGCGGTGGCTGACGCCTGTAATCCCAACATTTTGGGAGGCCGAGGCGGGCAGATCATGAGGTCAGGAGATCGAGACCATCCTGGCTAACACGGTGAAATCCCGTCTCTACTAAAACTACAAAAAATTAGCC